CCCTTCTGTTCTACCCACCATTGTAGCTTTGCCACTGATCTTTGCTCAATGAAATTAACAATTACCTTTGCACGCTCACCTAAATATTTTAGAAGCAGCCATAGTTTAGCATTCTACTAAAAATTCTATTGAAACATGTTTTCACATCTGAGAATGACAAGTATATGCAAAAAACCTTGCAGGATATTTACATACTACCATACCTGTTGAGAAAAATCAAAATGGTCTTGATACAACAACTATAAGGTATTTTGCCAAATGGTTAATACTTAGGTTCTGTTTGCTCATTAAACTCCACAAATATTTAGAAGAAACACGATTAAGTAGAAATGCATCAAACATCGCAGGTAAAAAGGAAATAAATCCAGTTGAAAGATACGAGAAATTGCCCTAACAAATGTTTATATTAACTTTCTTCTTTGCCAATGAGAATAGAAAATAAGAGTTAACTGCCTGTTACAGTGACATGGTGGTAGCATTGTGTGTCATCCTGAAGAAAACCTGAGCTTGGAGCAACCTCAGATGACTCATCCGTCAGATGGTGGAGACTAGGAGAAAAATGAAAGCAACGTTTTTACTTCCTGGGATAGGCTTAGTAGCTTAGAATATCACTTCTCACACCCTGCCTGCTGATCCATAAGATGATACCTATTACTGTCCTTAAGATGACAATACATCCTATTCTTTTGCAGAAAATAAGGTTCTCCAAAAAGAATCAGTTTCTGAGGGGTGAAGAGGAAAATCAGGGTTGAAGAAAGCAGCAATAGATATCTTGGAGTAAGGAGACAAAAACAAACATTTACAAAAGTGTTTTGTAAAAAAGCTTAAGGACAAGCAATCATAACTTTTAAAAACCAAACTGACATTGGTAACAAGTATTTACTATTTTAAATACTTACGGTAATACCATGGGATGGTCCCATATGTTGCACATGAAGGCCTGGGGAATTGTAGTAAGACATTCCAGCTCTAGTCAGTGAAGTTGGTGGTGTGAAACCAACTGTGTGACTTGCATATGACAGACCTAAAAATTGTTAAAACAAGGTAACATCAACATTCTTGTTTATATTATAAACTAAAGTGTGAGGTTCTTTAAAATTTTTTAGTTTTGAATCAATGAATAGGTTAAGAAATGGTAACTGCCGCCAGATTAGACATCTAAAAAATTGTACTCGTTGTACTTTAAAGCATACATGAAATTAATTTCTTTTCCTGTATGTTTCAAAACATACATTACACAGTGTTAAACATAACTTTTCACTTAACATAAACAGTGTAAGGCTCCCCTGGCAACTTAGTTTTAGTCCACAAGTATTTGCATCCAGCCTTCCATTCCTCCTCGGAGGAAATGGCTCCCTGAACAAAATACAGTCTGAAGAAGCAGAGAGATTATGCCTGGAGAAGCCATCTAGCACTGGGCCACTACGAGTTTCCACAAAGAAACTGGATGTAGGTGGCTCCTCCAAGGCATACCAGGCTTCCTCCTGTTTTGCCTCGGCATTTATAGGCAGGGACCAAAGATCTTTGGGGCTGTGAAGTTAAAACATTCCGGGATTAGTTGCTAGCTGGACTAGGCTAGCAACTAACATTTAAAATTACAACTTGTTTTATCCACATTAAGGAAAGCCTAATATTCAAAACCGCAAATATCTAGTTCTTCCATCTAAATATTTCCTTTCTGTAAGAACTAATTCATAAAAATGCAGAGTACCTGTATAGCTAACGAAGGTAAACAGAAACAGCAACCACTAAGTTCAGATCTTGAAGTGTTCTGAACATTTTGAGTATTTCTCAAAACAGAACTTTTTCCAAAACCTTTAGCTCACTATCGCTTTCTGACAAAAATATCAGTAAGGTAGGAGACAAGACTTTTCTCAGCTTCTCAGTTTAGTATTAGACACTAGCAACTGCTTTGGAGAATTATGACCAAAAAAACTTCTAAAGGTCTATTAAATTTTTAAAACACCACATTGGATTTGACAGTTTTCACACTTCTTCAACACTAAATCAATGCAAAACAGTGCCACTGCAGCTACAGTATGCACCACCACACAGCTTTGTCCTTAACTGCATGCATTTGTATTTGTGCCTACAATTGATGAGACAAGAACTTGGGGGAGGGCGGGGCGGGGGGAGAACCCTCCAATCACTAATGAAGTCATATAAGGAAACATACTCCCCTTGCTTCCTTCAATTCTAAGTTTGATTCTGCTACTTCCCCAATGTATGTCTGGTGCAAATTACAAGTGACTCCAATGGAATCACTGTCACTTTAGAGTAGTTCAAGAATGCAGATTAACAAAATTAATCTGCTTTTTGACTGCACAATTTAATGGTCTGTACAGCACATGTTTTATAACTAAGTGCTTTTGTAAGCACAGGGACAGAAACAAGTCAATGTTCAGGTAGGTGGCAACGTGTTGCAAGTCAGAGACGAGCCCAGAACAATAAGAGGCAAAAAATACGCTTTAAGTCACCTTTGCAACATTATCATTTTGGATTGCTTTGGGATAAACCAGCTCCAAAAATTTTACAACTGCAAGTCTACAGGGCAGTCAAAGAAGCGATAACAGGGCAGTCAAAGAAGCGGTAACAGAGTAGTGTACATACATCCAAGGTAGCTCAGCAGCCCAAAATCTCTATCTAGCCTAGCTGCAGAAGCAAAGCATGAAACAGTTTATCTACACTAAAGACTAATTGGTAATTAGAGTAACTAATCCCCAGCTGCCTAGGAGTAGCAATACTTCCACAATCTTCAAAGTTCCATGCACTGTGCTAGAAATCTCAGCAGTATCTCAGCTTGAAAGGGTCCTCAAAAGCAGTATCAAAAGCCATGCAAGCACAAAAGGCTCTGGGATTCAGGAGCCAGAATCTGACCCATTAAACCTGACCTGCTATCCATATGAAATTACAGCATTTCTAACTGGTTTCAAATTATGTTTCTACAAATTCAGGCACATCATTTCCCAAATGAAACATGCCAAGTCATACAATTACTTGATGCAAAATATAACTGCTGTATTATTCTGTGCTAATACTTTTGACAGTGTCTTACTGTACTACTTTAGGTACAAAGCACTCTCAGAAACTATTTGTTTTCATCCATTATTGTATTCATATATCTCAGACAGCTGTACAAAATTCCCTACTGATCTCATTAGTTCTGCTAACAAACTGCTGCTTCCATTTTTCTGAAGTCTGAAACTTCCCAACTGTGGATATTAATTTATCAGATGTGAAGGAGAGTAATGTAGCTGTCTGTGCAGAAGTGTTAGCCTGAAATATTTACTGTACCAACATTACCGAAATTGTGAATAATGATCTGTTAGAAACGACCATTTCAACTGTGCTATTTTTAACTCTGCTTCAGACTGTGTTTCAGCATCCCCTGTCTGTGGGATATAATTCCCACTAGAATGCAGCACTCTTGTATCAACTACCGATGGGAAGTAAAGTCCGCAGGGAAGAAGGAATGTGCTTCAGTCCCAGCATAGGAACAAACCCACAGAGTGCTCCTGCACTGACACATCAGCATCTAAATTGGGTGCATTTCTAGGTGATCTAGAATGCAAGCCTGTAAGTTACCAGATAATTTTTCCTACACATACTTTTAATTATAACCACTGTGTGGACTGCAGATACAACGTGCAGCTGACTACTGTATTATTAAGGCTGCACATGTATAACCGTGAACATCCACAGTAGTTACTCCAGAACAGTTGTTGACTATGTTTCTGTACACCCAGTTACAGGAAACTGATAAGAAAACACGTATTGTTTTCTTGGTAACATACCTTGCAAAACATTGAAAGTCAAGTGATTTGGCTCATTTCAGAAGCCCAAAAACCTCTTGAAAAACTCCATCATAATGCTCATCTCTAACACTGTAACATGGCTTATGGCCATAGATGTTTTTCACACATGCTTACTCCTTTTGCAACACCTGGATGAAAATTATTTTGAGTCCTTCTGAAAAAATAAAGTCAATCTTGAAAATTAAATAGTTTAAAGACATTTTATACGTTCTAGCAGACCTGGTGATAAAATGTCTCAATCCCGTCTTGCAGAATGTGTCAATATAGAGCACGTCTCATTTGCCCTTACTGTAGGACTCTGTCTGACAGGTTCTAAAGGTGAACTTAGGAAAGCAGGGCATGCAGGATTCGCTTCATTATGTAAAAGTGAATTTGTGATTGCCATATAACATCCACGGCCAACAACTTTCAATGAATGTCCAATCGCAATTTTAAGGGATTTTTAAATTTCAGTCAATTAATGTGTTAGTAACACAAATACATTTCCTTTGACTTAAAAAAATATATTCGCTAATTAAAACTCAGAAAAGGTTAGTTTACCTTTGTTATACAAAGTACTAGTGACAGGAATTCTTAATTTTACAGTTATTGTTTTACAACAGAAAATAGCAGAAGTACAAAAGCCATTTCTCTACTAAACAGAAATGGAAATTGACTTTTTTCCAACACGTTCAAGATTAGACTTCTTATAGAAGTTTTGCTTCAGAGCACAATAGCAGTCTCATTACTAGTTCATCACCAAACTCTAGAAATCTGTTTGAACTATGCATCCTGTTGGGCAACTTCTATGGAGGGGGGAGAAAAAAAAAAAAAGGAGACAGTAAGAGAGAAAAAGAGAGAGCAAAAAAGAAATAAAAGTTCAAGTGATAGCTCCTTAACTGACCTTTAATATCTGTTCACAGTGTAAAACAGAACCATGCAAAAACATGCTGCACTAGAAAACATCTAAGACAAAACTATTCTTACAATTATGATGCAGTTGTTTTCTCCAGACTAGCTTTGAAAGGCTACTGACCTAAATATATTAATAGGGCACGTTACTATGTGATGCATACAATAATTTTAGAAACTGGGTTAAATATTTACCAGGTGATATAGGTCTGCTAGAACTTGGTGAGGGTGTATAAGGGATAGGACTGGACACAGTGCGAGGTCTTAATCCTTGTGCAGACATCTCATTAAAATATCTAACAAAAAAAGGTAAAGAATAATTAGATCAAACCTTTTAATATGTTCCATGTTTTAAATGTTTCACTGTGTTTTTTTCCATTCCCATAAGAATCACGTTAGATTAATGAAGGACCAGTCACCTTTAGGAAGTCATGACAGGAACTCTCATCATTGCTGAAGGCTCAGATACTGGCTTAACTTTCAATGGAAATAGCTGGACTTATCTTAGTCATTTGCAGTTAAAACCATACAAGTTGCATATGATTAGAATAGTACATATTAAGGTCAGAGGTATAAATCATGTCATCAAATCTGACCTATACTACATTCTTGCACTTTACACATCATTTCTACATTGAACTCAATAGCTTGTCTGGCTGGACAGAAAGGCATTCTTATCTTCCAGAAAGGCATTCAGCGCTAATCTGAAATCATGAAGGGGGGGGAAAAAAAAAGGAGGGGAAATCATTAAAATATTTGATGATTCCTTCCAACAGCTGATCAGCCTCACAGTTAAAAACATGCCCTGTTTCCTACTTGAATCCCTCCAGTCTCAACGTTTAGCCATTTGCTCATCGTATCTTTTGCCACTGGAACAGAGAGACGTTTTGAACCCAGGACTTTCTCCCACTAAAGATACTTCTAGGTTGTGTTGCAAGACACCTCCCACACTTCACTGTGATAAACTGAACAGATGAGAACCACAGGCAAGGCATTCTTCCCTGCCTGTAATAATTTTAGTGATATTTATTTGTACTTTACTTTACTTTATTTGCTGAATACAGTGAAGCTTCTTCACAGCCATCAAGTGGTATATAAAAGGAGATAAAAATCATATCAATTGCTCCTACTTGCCACTTACTGTTTATATCTCCAAAGTAATTTTATGTATTTTTTCCACAACTCTAGGCTGGCAGCTTTCAGGTTGACTTCCTTATGCACTCTCCACCTAGATTTTTCGGTCATCGTCTAGATTAGAGGTTCCCCTGCTCACCTTCTCCTGCACATACGGTTGCAAATCAGTGCACCCGGGTTTATATTATTACATTTAGCTGTGTTTCTTTACTGGACACAGCAAAGTAGCAGGCAAAATTAACTACCTAATAGCTCTTTGACTCTTACTTGTTTTCCTTTCTACCACTGTGTTTTCAGAAATTCTCAGTAGCTACATTTATTTGCAGATCACAGAAAAAACCGACAACATGGAGCAGCATTAAAAATATTCCTATTTGATGGAACTCACAATGATTGCTACTTCGAAGTCTGTAAGCCAGTTCATAAACTATTTGAAACACGTTTTGATACTGCGTCTTACTGATTTTTAACCAGGATATTCAGAGTTACTAAGCCACAACACCTAACACAAGCAGTACGCTGTAGCGATACCAACGTTGGTTTAAATTTGGGTAGATCAGGTAATAAAAGTAGCTGCAATAGAGAACAACAGAAAATTAATAAACTGGCAAATTAAAGTTTAATTAAATATAAGTTTTCTAAAGAGCTACCAGTGGCAAGGTTAGCAAAATTGAACTGACTAGGCTACCTCTGCAACATACAGTAACTTGTAATGCAGACAAGTATTACAGCAAGGCAGTGGTCTTTGTGATTTAATCATATTTTATTCTACATAAAGACAATTTTCTGTAAGTCATCCTAGTACCTGGATCAGGTGATATGAAATAGCAGCACACCATTAGTGTGCTTCCTGGTTTCAGATATTTCCCTATTACTCCAAAGAACAGGATGGAGGATTGAGAAGACAAAGCTATTGCTAGTCAGGAGGAAGAAGTTTTGGGAGAGCTGTGTATTTTGCATTCAGTAAAGCATCTTCATCTACCCCCCATCTACAAAAAATAAGTATCATCAGCTAACAGAATGCAACTGAAAAAAATGGATATCTGATCCATCACCACCATCATTTTTAGAAAGACAATGTAAGCTGATGAAAATGTACATTTTAAAATCATTACTGCATGTAGTTCCACAATTTTTTTGTCTACACAGTTCTCCTAAGACTAGCCACTCTAACACCTGCTTCGTCCTTCCCTTTACTTTATATTACTTACACTGCAAATACCTGTTTTGGAGTGATTCTGTCACGCCTTTGTAGTACTGAGAAAATCAACATGACAATGAAATTTCTTAGAAGTACAGAATAGTTAATTAAATTTTCCTGCATTTTATTGATTACCACTACCTACAACCGGTTGACAAAAAAAAATTATTAGGATATTCCTGGATTAATCTTGGTAATTCGCATAGATTTTGACTGTATTTCCATTACAATGTAAATATTGGCAGAAAAGATTAAGCTAATAAAAGTAGATTCAAACACCAGAATCCTGTGTTTCTAACAATTCAATTTATATAGCATTCGCTATATCTTAATACCAGATGCTAATGCAATATATGTCAGCTGTCTAGTATTTCATTAAAATGAAAACACTACCTTGAACTTTAAGGGTGCTCCTTGAATCAAAATGTCTGGTACTTTGTTTCTGGTAAATTATGGCTTATAACAAATATACTGATGACCCAAGAAGAGATATCTCAGTATCAGAAGAATACACAGCACAGGGTAACTTTTTTTTTTTTAAAGGACCACTATAAATCCAAAATAATTTAAGACAGTACAACAAAATAATGAGCATTTGATAAGAAATAAGAAAGTTTTATTCAAAGTGCAGTTAAAAACCTTTTTCAAGATATAACACTGTCATATGACTATGACATGAGAAAACACTAAAAGGCATCATATAAACCCATGAAAAACTCAAGACTATCTGTAAGGTCAGTGCAACCAATGCAGCTTGCAGTACAGAAAAAAAATCAAGGATGTTATGGTTTGGACATCAAGAACAACCCAACAGTTCTGGAAATGCTTCCTCTCTCCAAGGCTTTACACAATATCCCTTTCTATTTGGCTGAACGCATTTTATTTTCTGCAAAGGACAAATTAGCCCCAAGTAAGGACATTGTTCCTACCCTATAGAATTCCTTGCAGTTACCAAGTAAGGGGCAAAACAAAGGTACTATGATTGAATTATCCTGAATCTCAGCTCCACGGCTGTATTTATTTCAATATACACTATCAAAACCCTAAGCAATCTTCAGATACAAATATTTTCTCTCTCACTGTTAAAACTAATGCAATTTCTACACAAGTCTGATACAATTCTACTGAAGATATTGCTGGACCATGCTGAAATTTGATATTATATTGAACCCTTATACAGGTTACTTCTATAAATACTTACTCTATAATATTCAAAAAAGAAGTATGAGTATTGATTAATAAGCTCAATGCTAACATATCTGGATGGCTAGAAAACACAAACCTTTCATCGTCCATTTCTAAGCTGGATTCACTTTCTGACAGCTGCCTGCAGAGTGCTTCCCTACGTTCCATTTCCCTCTGTAATTTTCTTTGAAGTCTCAAGTTTTCTTCTCTCATATGTCGCTCCTCTTCTAAATATTGTGCCATCTTCTCTGAATCTGAAATTCAGAATTTTGTTAAAATTTGATTAAAATTCAATTTCACAGACAAATATATTGTGCCTAATTTTACTCCAGTACTTCAAGAATGAGGGTGTAGAAAATGCTCAGGATGGATCACTCAAAATTCTCATCTCTAAGTCATTAGTTCAAAGCCTAACTCAGAACAGCAGCTACTAATATAAGTTACTGGTTGACAGCAACTTTGAAAATAAAAGGTAAAAATCAAAAGAAGTTTTAAGTGTTTACTTAAACTAATTTGAAAAGAAAGGAAAAAAGTCATGAAGAAAATAATAAAACCAAAACCATAAAGAAGAAATACAATGATTTCTGTTCCATTAAAATAATGCTATTCCACATTTACAAAGATTTTACTGCAACACACAGAAGAAATGATTTTAAAGATATATTTCCATTTTGAAGGAGGAAGCACAAAACAAGTTCTGAAACCCAAAACACTCAAACTTCTATTAAATTGCTACCTTATATGTATTTTATAGCATTCTTTCAACGACACATTTTATCATAGAGTTTGGCCAGCAGAACTTGTGCCAATATTAAAAGCCAACAAGTGGTTTACTCTTTACATCAAAGGGCAATTTGAGTTTGCAATTCTAAACAAGTTCAGCAAACATCACTTACATGGTCTGGTATCACAGGCTATTTAAAGTGATAAAATCAAATTATGGAAAGCTACAAAGCATTTTGACAGATTATTTAAATAAAATGGAACACATGATGAAGACTTATGACACACAATGTATTTTGTGAGGTTTTCTAATGTTTGATCAAGTTTACAGTTAATTCCTTGATATTAAAAAAAAAAAATTACAATTCATCATGCTTTGTGATCATTTCTTTATGCAGCACCCTTCAATCAAAATATTCCTGTTTTAAAAGACTGTTCCCAAACTATCAACAATATGTGATTTATCTCTCTTCTGTGGAAATATTGCTTCCAAATGTAACAGTATCACTTATTCAAAACTATTATTATACCAAAACAGTTCCTAGCCTAGAAGTGCTTCAGGCATACAAAATGTAGTACCAATATCAGAATTTAGTAAGCAGATTTTATTAAGTATTTATGAATAATACTACTACTAGAAGTTCTCTGATGACCACATATTGCAAACACCAAACTGAAAACTGTGTTTCAGCTTCATCTTCTGCTTGCAGGCTAGCACATCCACCATTTCCATCAGTATTGCTATTCATATTGCAGCTCTGTTTAACCTGTTCACGAAGGGAAAGAGGAAAGAGTAAAACCTAGATCTTATTTTCAATGAGAATTTCACCTTAAATGCTTCTGAATTTTTACTCTAAATCACAATAATTCAAAAAGAAACCACTTAAAAATAATAAAGAATACTTTAAATTAATTAGGCTAGATTTGTACAAAGAGTACTTTAAATTTAAGGCCTTGCTCTCGTTCTGAAGTTCAGTAAGTGAAGGCTGCAGTGCAGAATTGCAAGTACAGAGTCAATGAGAATTTCACCTTAAATGCTTCTGAATTTTTACTCTAAATCACAATAATTCAAAAAGAAACCACTTAAAAATAATAAAGAATACTTTAAATTAATTAGGCTAGATTTGTACAAAGAGTACTTTAAATTTAAGGCCTTGCTCTCGTTCTGAAGTTCAGTAAGTGAAGGCTGCAGTGCAGAATTGCAAGTACAGAGATTGGCAGTCCTTATCTTCTTTTAACTGACACAAATTATTAATACCACGAATTTGCGCACAAGGCCTCTGCAAAAGAGCACTCTCCCATCATCTCTGTCTTTAAGGAAGGCCGCTGCCTCTGGCAAGCTATTTCTCTAAATGGGTGTTGAAATATTCCAGTCAGTCTGTCAAGACCAGCACACTAGAAGGGGAGAATATTGCCTGTTTCCCACTCACCCAAATTTTTCTGTCTATATGGTTAGGTATCTACTTACCTACCAATTGAAATACAATGCTACTGAGTAGGAGCTAGGTAGAACTGATGAACTCAGATAAAAGTTTTAGATTTATCATGAAGGAATGAAGGACTGGCATTGCAAAGATCACAGGAAGGCACAAGCGACCTTCCTGCCGGATGAGACCATGCGCTCAGAGCCGTAGCCTCTTCTCTTGAAAGGCAGGGCAAAAAGCAGGCTTTCCACTTCTGGTCAGGGGTCCGTGACACTTTTCACAACAGAAACACAAGGACTGATACACAACTATTTATTCTGTCCACCTTCAAAGCGATCTTACATAGGTAAGAACAAAACAAGATTATTTGTTCTGCTATATTGTGAAGTCAAATAGCTGCCTGAACAATTAGTCTAAAACAGCTACAAACAATTATATAAGGGCAGCTGCAATCATTAACAAGTGAAATTCTTATAAACAACTTAACTTTATTTTGCTAGCTATTAGTTCTTTTGAGTAATTCTTAATTTATAACAAGACTCTTACAAAGTAGGCCATAAGTATATTTTGAAAAATCTGTATGTTGAAACAGCGCTAAGTCTCTGAAAAAAAGAAAAAAAGATAGAAACATTTTTTCTGGCCCAAAATATTCAAGAAATACTTGTTGATTCTTCCAGACACCCTTCTAGTAAAGCTAAAAAAACCCAAACTGCAGTATAAATACATCAACGAGCAATAATGCTGCAATTATGAAAATGTTTTAATCCAAAGCTGCCCTATTTTTTTCTACTTCTACCTTAAATTCAAACTCATGAAAGTATATATATAAAAATCTTACTTTACACAAACTCGAAAAGATTTAAAACAAGTTGTTTACTCACGCTGTAACTGTGCAGCCCTCAGTTGTTTCTTTAACCTCTCCACTTCATTCTTTAAAAATCTGATATGTCTCATCATATTTTCTGGAGAATCTATCTCCATTGATATGTCTCTGGGTGATGGTGGAGCAGATACTGGCTGGTCTAATTTCTCCTGCAAAATTCTGTATGAAAAATAGTTCAAACTTTACCTTCAATTCTAATGAAAAGAAAACCCCTTAAATCCCCCAGAAAGCCTCTGCAAGGATTCTGACAGCTATGTAAGATTTACTTTAACTACTGGTTTTTGGGGAGAGAATTTTGGGAGAATTTGGGAGCATTTATAATGCTTTCTTTTTTAACTCAAAATAAAAAAAGGTAAAATTTATTGTCCAAGCACAGATGGATTTTCTAAAATATTCAGACATTGACACTCCCCAATATTTCTGCATACAGTTCAGGAAAAACAAATTCTGGACTATATATATTTACCTCAGTCTTATACTCAAATACTACATATATATCTCTCATATATATAAATACATCATATATATATATACACACACTCTCTCTCTCTCTCTCTCAAATATACTTATTCCACAAAATCATTTCTAAGCAAATTCATTTAATCTCTTATGATTTTTTACATTTATGTTCTTAGAGGAAGAACACATATTCAAGATGAAAAGATGAGTAAAGTATGTCTATGGTGAAACACAAGCTTTTCTGCATTTCACCATTACCAAAAGAGAAAACAGACATTTTCTGAAGCATAGTCAAATAGTCTCCACCCCCACACACACTTTTTTTTTTTTTTAAATCCCCAAACAGAAAGATATTCCATATAGTCAAGGTTTCAAATACCTCAAATAACTGACTGTAAATTCAGGAGTAATGAACTTCTCTTATAATGAAATAGGCATATGGTGGATATTAAACGTTCTAAATTATGATTTTTGGAGTTAACATTTGAAGTATTTTTCAGCCTGAAAGCATGAAACTGTTCTTCACTAGAAACATGTTGATTGGCCAGATCCAACTCCACCCTGAAGAGCGGAGAACTATGCAAGCACAACCCTTTATATGGCCTAGTATTCACACATACCATACAAAGTGGTACTACGCATGGTCTGACTCCTCCTAAGAAGGCACTCTGAGATAAATTAAACAAGAAATGGTTTGGCTGAAAGAAGACTTTAAACTTAAGATGCATAAAAATCCTACCAAAGGCCCATCCTGCTATGGATTTACCACTGTTGAATATCACATCTAGCTCTTCAGAGCACCTTCCACACAGCAGGGCTCTGTAAAATAAAACTACAAAACTTGCAGTTCACCTAGGCTGAGGTGTCTTCTGAGGCACCAGTCAAGATTCTTAACTTCTACTGAAGAAGCAGCGGAATGTCTCAATGTCATGAGCGCACACCACTGAGAAAAAGCTGAAGTCTTCTTCGAACAGATAGGGGAAAAACAAGAGCTTCTCATATATCACATACACTAAAATACGACGTTATTTTCTCTGGGCCACAAATACAAAGCTGACCCCAAACCAGAAGCTTTAAAAAGAGTCTATCAGCAGTTGAAAAAGTTCAGCAAATTCCTTCAAGCTTTCCGAGGTCATTTATTATACTATTTAGTTTCATCTACTTTAAGCAGTCAAGGATGTAGCATCATTTAAACAAGGAGCTTTACAACTGCTTTAACTTCCAAGTTTTCATAGATTAAACAACTCTTATGGGACAGAGATGAACATATTTAATCCAGGATATTATGTATTAAAAGATATCTCTCCCACAGTAACAAACATACTGCAACAAGACAAACCGTTTTTCTGCTTCAAGCTTATCCATCCTCTTCCAGAGACGATTCACTAGTGCTTCTTGTTCTTGTTCCAAAGTATTTTCAAGGTCAATCTTCTCACGTCGTAGCTGGAGAGGAAAGACAATCAATGAAAATATATTTTTTGCAAGGATCTGTCATTATGAAAGATCATTGCTATAACACTACCATTTTACATGAAGCTGTACGACAGCAAGGAGGTGGTGAAGAAGACACAAAAATCAGGCACAACACACTGGTCACAGAGCCAGTGAAAAATCAAGAGATTCAGGAGTTGCACAGTTGTCATGTTCTTAACAGAATTTTTTCTCACAGAACGTGTCTCTGGTCAGTAAGGAGGAGCTTGAAACCTGGACACATGGTCACTGACGACATGACAAGCCTATTCAAAACACATCTCCTATTCCATGCGTCTCAAGTTCAAACCAAATTTACTGTCCACTACACCAACATTACTTCTTTTGAAAAATTTTAGTCTTTTTTTAGTGGAAGAATCACAGTTAAGTAGCCCAAAAATGGAAGAGAAGCCATGTTTCCCTTGTGTTAGATAAAGGAGCAACACAACAAAAATAGTTAAGAAAAAATTATGTGAACTGCCTTAAGTGTTACTGTATAAACACTTACTAGCAGAAACAAATGTATTTCTATCTTAGCAAAGGCTTTATAAAAGTAAATGCTTAACTTGACATTATTCCCATTCACTTACTGTGTGAACAAACATTCTTGATTCTACTATAAGCTAACGAAAGCAGATATAATGTAGAACCACACATGGAGAAATCTATTATTAGCGTTTTAGTACAAATACAATGCAAATATTAATAAGAATACACAGAATACTACAGAACCAGGCACAGCTGATCTTATTCAGTAACACTGGCAGCTGAACTCCAGAAGTTAGCAATAATGAAACATATGAATGAAATAATAGATCATGAATATAGATAATAAATAATAGATTATGAATAATAGATAGGTGAAATACTGAAATAGCTCAACACCTTTATAGGTGGAAAATAGCATGGAGGTATTTTTCCCAGCCAAGCCTTAATTAACACTCACCACCTTCCTGATGGGCAAATAATCCCACATTACAAAATGGAAAGACTGAAAACAGATTAAGTGATTTCCTCGCATGTTTACTGCGTCACTGGGTGAAGTGCTATTACAGAATCTAAATCTGTAAGGGCGCTCTGCTAACCACTAAATTAATATTGAGATACCCAAACCAAATTTAAACTTACGCACTTCAGTTAAGAGTGCAAGTTTAATGAATGTACAACTTTCTTCTTTAAAGCGTAGAGGAATTAGTTACTGTAAGTAAAAACAGACATATATTGATGAGTAATAGCGAACATAATTAGAAAAAGAAACACTGTTTAGTAAATCTTTCCATGTCCGAGTTTCCAGATGTACATTAACAGTTGAGGGAACTTACACTTCAATAAAAGAGAAGTCAGAAGCAATATGCTTCAGCCTCACACGAGGGATGAGAATTTGGAACCTGACCGACACTTCATTCCCCACAGCAGCAGGAGCTGGAGTGCTACAAAGGCAAAGGGCTCAGCCTGGGAGATACAGGGCGCTTTGCCTTAGGGCACTGCTCATTAGCCACTTTGGCCAATGCTTGGGGCTGACAGCATTCAGAGGGAAGAAAGTACACAAAATGTTCTGGGAATCTGGTAATCTGCACACCGTGCTTCTATGTTACCAACTTCAGATCTTCACTACATTGCATAGCTATCTATATAAAAGACATGATGAAAAAGGTTTGACTGCAGATCACTACTTCTGCAGCAATGGTTTTTGCATCACTTCAACGCAGCATGGTTTAGACTCACCTGCTCTGACACAGTCTTTCTACAACTACTTACAACTTTTTACAACTATGTTATTGATCTGGCACCAAACAAATCCACAAAAACATACTGGTGAAAATAAACCTATTTCATTTATAGGTAGGAAGAAGAGCACACTGGAATTTGAAGAGAGAGTAAATTACTTATAACTTTGGATTTGAAAAATCTGAGATTACATTTAGTATTATAGCAACCATCACCAAGGCAGCGGAGTCCATTAATTAGAGCATGCACAATGGCAAAGTCAAATCATCAGCAACAATACACAAATGAGCCTTGTGTTGTGGCCTGAAGGCTGACAGACATACTCTGATGAAACACCAAGGAAACCGGGTTGTGAAACAGAGATCTAAAACTCCCCATTTCCAGCACTATGAAAACACACTGGAAACAAGTATCTTCCTTTCCTTATCTTGAGTGTTGTCCCAGTTCCTCTCAGTGTCAGGATATTAAAGTTTTGAGGACGAACACCTTGAATTGAACCTACAGGAGAAGCGACTGCAGCATCCTGACCAGAGCTGTGAATGCAGAGAATAGGTATATTTGTTTTGTACTAGGTAGTTTCAAGTGTACTTTGAAATGCAGTCAATGAACTCTAGTCAATGAATTTGTTAGGAAGGTGATAACATTCTGGACTAAAATAAGCAGGATGGGATTACATCTGAAGACCAAACCAGCAAATCTGTCACTACTAGCGTCATTCTATATGGGTTCAAAGTTACATTCCAATCAAACATGATTTAATTTTTACCATCACAACAGGGAAACGAGGAAGTATTGTTGGCTTTTTTGGACCTTAATCTTCTCTTCAGACGAAGAGAGGAATCCCTTTTAACCTTCCTCACCATCCAATTGTGTTTCTTCTCATCTCTCTCTCTCTCTCTCATGCATCCACTTAATTTACTTGAAATGCTGCTAAAATATCCATTGTCTGTGTATTCCTGGATTACCGCTTCTTCAGTCTTCTTGCCAACTTACTAACAAGCACAACTGTTCCCTCCTGAAATGGAGATCTTCCAAATCAATGAAAGTTGAACACGATCTCTGCCTAAGCCCACTATCCCAAATTTCACTTCTCTGCTTATCTGCCCCTCACTCTTTGTAGCTTTAATTCTTTGCTGCTCTCCAAGAATATCTTTCCAGAAGATTTTACACATTTCATGTTGTTCTTCTTTCAAAGGATTAGATTATTACTAGCAGTTTAGTTCTTATTTCTCATCTCCTAACTGCATCAATTCTAGTTTCTCACTGTACTGTATGAAAGAGAAACAGAAAAGCAACTAAAAAGAGTTAACAGCAAGACTACACAAACTTGGCCTCTATAGGACAAAAATGACAGCTATGTATTTCCTATCAAACCACTGAACTGTAACACAGAACATTATTGCTCATTTTAACTGAGAAGTTCAGTTAATGAAATAGTCACACGTTGCAAATTTCTTCACCATTAGCCTTCAGAGAAGAATGTTCTGCCACTTCAAGCTGACTTAAGAAAATTAAGTCAGGTCACATTTGAACCCTAAGACCCAACTTACTTAGGAATAACGTTCTACACAATCATCACTGCTCAAACTGGCTACCTACTGATCATCTGTGGCATAAGCAGCTCAGACGAGAGAAAGCAAAGGACGAAGGACACAAAGCATAGATAATTCGTGTTCCATATTTTAAAAATAATCGTTTAGTGAACATATGTTGTAACTATTTGTTCACTGATTACAGTGATAGATCTAGTAATGCAGCCCTAGATTATGTTCCAAGCATTGCTGAAGTACTCCTTCCATGCCCTGTTTAACAGGTCTCACAAAACTTACGCTGAAGTGTTGTGGCAATCTCTCTTCCTTAATTCCCTATGTGTACAATAAAGGCAACATTGCTCTGATCACAACTTTTGGTTGCTTCTTGCTAAGTATGGCACATGCCCCAAAGGCTGTTGCTTCAGCTGGTTAATTAGCACAATATGGTTTTTTTTTAATTTGTGTAAGAGAAGAAAGCATGCTGAAGTTCAAAGTAACCTGAGATTTACTATACCTTACTGTAAGAAAAAACAAAGGTATACATTGCATTACATATAAATATGCATGGAATTTCTAAGTAAAACTGACAGCCAAATTTAACATCTTCATAAACAAAGTAAGTTTTCAAGGTCAGATATATGAGAGAAAGACCTTTGAGCATCCATGCTTTTTGAACCATCTATTAACCATCAAATGTATTCAAATGTACCAACAAGTTTAAAATTTTATGATTTCACAAGTCTGTCTGCCCAGAACGATACAAAAAGAAGTATCATTAAGATTTTAGCTGTGGCTTATGCTAACATTTTAAAGACTAAAACAGCTTAATACGTATGTAAGCTTACTTTGCATTTTTATTAGGTGGCCACCACCACCACCTTGTGGCTAAGAGAGTTATTTCAATCTCATGTTAATTTCCTTGCTGGTTAACGATTTGCTGGCAACTGTATCTTCCTACCTTTCTATTTTTCAATTTGTTCCATAGATCTCTCCATACAGAATGTTAGCATAAGAATCAAGAAAACCCATTTCATCATTAAGATACCCATTAATTAATTTACCCACAACGTCAACAGAAATAGGAGAGTCATAAAAACAATGGTAGAAATTCAGATTACCAGCAACAAAAAAGTTCCACATCTGATGAGAACAGCAAAAAAATTCACAGAAATAACGTACTATATTTACACCACCCAAATTATCGGACGTCCACAAGCCAGAAAAACTGAAGTTCTTTAACAAGCCTGTATGTTTCATCAGTTTGCCTTTTAAGTCAAAAGGACTCCTACTAATGCCACTGAGACGCTTTGATGCACATGCCTAAAATAAGACATAAGAGCAGTCCCAATGTCTAAACTTCCAGTGGAAACATGACCAAAACAAGTGGTGTTTTATCTCTGCAATCTTCGTAACTGTCTAGGGAGAAAGGGAGTTGGATGTAGTCAAATCTCAAATCTTTTTTAAGTATATACACAGCTGACATCATACAGTTCAAGTCCTGTGCTACCCAAGCTACCACAAAAAGGTGACCTAGACCACATACATATTGTTTACTATTGTGCTTAACCGCTGTTAGAAGTGACAGTCTTTCTCACTAGCAGCATGAGAGTGGAAGCTGATGTACAGCAACAAGAAGCATTACTTACCAAAAAGTTTTGTTTGCAAAACTCACAGCTGTCCAGCAGACGTGAAGGCCTGCAGTAAGGCTACTAGAAGTTATAACGGCCATGAAAAAAAATTAATCAAAATTTCTCATAATAAATTATGTTAATGATTTATTGCTTTGAAAGTCAAACTGACTTTTCTATATTCTTGGTATTGCCCGGTTTCTTACATACTTAAAAAAATAAGTCAAATCTAATACAAAACAAGCTTTTTTTTTCCCAGAATCCCTTGTTTTACAGTCAGATAATTCTGAACGTAAGGAATTACCTGCTCCAGGGTGAGCTGCTTTGAAATTGTATCGTTTTCCAGTTTTTTAATCTTCTTCATCAGTTTGTTCACTTGAAATTCCTGTTCCTGCTCTAAATGCTGCTCCAGTTCAGCTTTCTCATGCTGCAGCTAAAAAGTCAGGAGACATAGAAGTATTTTAAACACACAAATAAAAGTATGAAACATGATGCACCTTTTATACGTTTATTTACACGTTTATTCTTACTGCGCAGTAAATTCTCTACTGATAATTCTTCTCAAAAGACTTCAAAATGCACAACCCATCCAACAGCCCTTCAAAAAGCAACATTTTAAAATGTGTCCCATTTACAAAGCAGATGGAAGTAAACTACATTTCCAAACATTTAATAAAGTCAAATCAAAATAGATACATTATATATAGCATATAAAATAATTACAGACATTTCAAAAGTCAAAAATCTAACATAATGTTCACAAAAGCATTGATTTTAATTTAAATGCATCATCTCAAGAGCACCCAAAGCATAAAATGCAGGTCTTAGCACTTCCTTCTCCCAGGTAGCTGAAAGCTTAAAATCATGACTGAAGTGATACTACTGAAATTGCTGTGCAACAAGATAGTAAAAAAAATAAATCCAATTTCTACTCCTATGCTATCAAGGATCAAAAGATTTTGATGACATAAAAACACTGGTTATTTCAAATCAACGTTATAAATTTTCTTAACACTCAAGGGAAATTCTTTTTCAGTTAATACTTCCAATGGGAAAAAACTTTACTCTCAAAGCTCTCAAGCAGATAGAAAAAAAAACCTCCCACATTTTAACATAACTTATGGCTTGGAGTAGAGTCACTTTTAACATTAAAGTCAAAATCACAATGGAATCCCTCTGAGACAGGGACCCAAGTCTTCCTGTGGATAAAACAGTGTGACTGGCACCATGGTACAACACGTGAATTTGACTTAGGGGAAAGACAAGGGTGTAATTACACTGTGCTCTGGCCATGCACTGAAAATTGCAGGCACTTTTTTCCACCTGCTTATTTTCTACGCCAGTTCTTCTGGCTATCACATAACAATACGTAAGATCACAGTGTTTAAATGTGTGAAGAAAATCTGAGGAAAGGGAGACACACCTCACAATCATTGACACAAGTCAAGGTTGCTGGATATCCACAGTGAAGCTTAAAACAAGCTAAAATTGCTAGTTCATTAATTCAGTTCCTTTTGCTGCTATTTAGAGACAAAATAGTCCGTGAAGTGCAACCTGGCAGAGAGTTCAGAGCAGAAAGGATTGTGTGGAGAAAGCACTAGGCAGACAGTAACTACTTGGCAATACACATATGGGAGAAGTCTACAGTTTAAGTGCCTTTTCAGGGCTTATCAATTTTGAGATTTTATTTTTCACAAATTAAAATAAACACCAGAATAGTAATTAAAAACTAAATGAGATTTATTCCTTTTACTTACTAAATTACAGCATATTTTCCAAAACCCCTGATGCTCATGGGAATTCCCATGCACTTGAGGAAGCCACCTAGACTCCAACATGATAATCACTGAGACTATCATGGCAGCTCTTGATCAAATGGTTAGGAAATTTTGTTAAACTGTCTAGTTGGAAATAAAGCCATTTCATTTCTTGCGTGAGAATATGCAAGGCTGTTAAGTGAGATTTTCATTAGAAGAAAAATTTATATTCACACTTATAAATGAAAATATTGTTTGTGTTGTTTGATAATCAAAAATTTGAAGTTTCTTACTTCAGCATTGGAGTTAAGCTTGGTTGGAAAAAACCAGATTTAATACAAAAAGGTCGTTACATAGTCTTACAACTCCGTAAGCCCCTCTCCCTTCCTTCCCCACCCCTACGCAGCAGCTACAGTTTAAGACTGAAGACAGTCAAAGAGCCAAAGGAGCAGAGAGCATACGGATTACCACCTAGCTCAAGGTACTTGCTGCACTTTCATCAATCTTCATTTTGCTTCATTAAAAAAGCTAGACGCTTTTTTTTTCACCTAACTAAAAATTGAGACCAAAGCCAGTTGCTGTAATCAGCTTACATTTAGTTAGCAAATTAAACTGTGTGAAAAGGCACACGGCCAGAATCTCTTACTCAGCCTAAAGCCAGATGCTGCTGACAGAAAGCCTGTGGTTGGGGACTGCTAGCATTTGCAGACAGTCCGGTGAGTCAGGCAGATCATATAGCCATATGAAGGCACCTCAAACCAACTTAACAACAAATACTGTTTCTTGCTCGTGTGTGCTTCATGCAAGTGCAACTACCATATTATTTAAAACAAATTGAGCTGCAATAGCACAAACTTGCTTGTCAAATCATTCCTTTTAAAGCTTGCTGGAATTTCCATCCCACAGGAACTGATGAGGCTTACTCGTTAGATCTGTAGCTGCTGTGTAGGATCTACTAAACCCTACCTTGGGAGCGTGAACATACTGCAGCCAAAGGACCATTCCAGCTGGTCAGAAAGCTACTAAGTGAAGCCAGGAGAGATCTATTACAGGAATATCTTCTATTCCGATTTGAACATAAATATACCAGAAAGCAAAGTGACCGGGAATAAAAAGAAACCCACAAACACTTTCTCCTTGAGTGCTAAAAGGGATTATAACATGAAAGCCCTCTCGGACATTCTGATGAACCTCCTTTACTATGCTACTCCCCTTCACCCTTTCGGCTTTGTTATTCAAAGTGGAAGAAAAATACTAATAACACACACCAAAACACACATAAATGGTATCTGTCACTCATAATTGGGTAAAATAATTTTTCCCTTTTATTGGCTTTGATCACAAAAACAAACCAAAACAAACAAAAACCAGTCAATGCTGAAACCGTAACACTGAAAAACAGAATTGCTAACAATGAGAAAATATCTCCCGGTAAAACACTGGTGGATAGTGTTTATTTTACTTCGGAAAGTAAGAGAGTATTTCCAAACTGTTTCTAATTAGATGCAATTATAGTAACAACTGTTTACAGATACACCTATGGCTGCCAGCTAAAGAAAAGTAAAAATGTGTTAGAACGTGTCACCCTGATAACTATGTCTTATAGACCCTGAATTGCATATAAAAACTGTAGGAGAGATACTGGGAGAATTTTCAGCTACATAAGATCAGAGATAGGTTCGGTGCAAGAGAGAGCTAATACTTTAAAGTGAGAACGGGGCTATCAAATACAAAGCTCAGCAGCAGAAAGAGTGCATGCATTAGTTCAGGTAAGTCCTATGCAACTATACTAATATCCTCCTCTCTCTACAGAAATAAGTTTCCTGATAGGTCCTGTAGGACCACGTTTACCTTACTTCCTTACTGTACTGGCTTATTCTGGGACAGCGGAAAGTGTTTTTGTGAAATAATGGAGCTAATGGATGAAGTTCCCCCTTAAAAAAACAACCCTCATTTTTCCCCCAGACTATGACCTTGTACATTGTACTGAACAGTTTATTTTTAGTACTGCAGCCCTCAAAAGGGCTGTCCAATTCCTCCTTTGCTGCATCCTGAAAGTCCTATTTATTAACAAATCTGTATCAGCAGTTTGCCTCCTCTTTAAGTCCAGATGTTCATCAAATAAATGATAGATGAGCTGACTGTTTATACCGCACAATCACATTTGCATCCTTGAGCTGAGGCATCATATTTTGGAGAGCAGGAAGGGTAATAGCTTATGTTTACAGACATAATTTTTGAAAGATTTGTCAAGAATCAGACTTGCATGAGAAACAGTTCTGTACAGCCTCCCAATTACTTAATCCGCCTCACTACACATTATGCTATTATCTTGGTACGTCGTAATGTTTTACTTTCAAGGACAGATTCTTGGACCAATTTGCACTTCCAAAAATATAAGAGTATTGAAAAAAATATGTATTTGCTTTTGAAAAGGACTGTTGCACAATTTAAAGAATAATCAACTTTGTAAGTTCAAACAATATTAAAAATTAATTACTCTTTTCAGCAGCCTTGTTTCACAAAAGATAAATTTTCAAGATTTACTACTTTAAATTTCAAAACAGTAACTCAACAAGTCCACATCCACAGCTGCAAGAACAGATCCTGCATCAAAACACTCCTAATGATATTCTGCAAAATATTACTACCATTCTATAATGACTAGGGATCAAGGACTCTATAAAAATATTGTTCCAAACTTTCCAGAGACTTAGTCAGGTAGACAAAAATATAATTAGAGCAAGTACATGGGAAAATACAGTGAATGTATATAAGGCTTATAAGAACTTTATCAGGAATGTATGTGATGAAAAGCTTTTTACTCCAAAACCTCTGTTGAGATGCATGTGCTCCTTGACCTCTGCAGCATTCAGCCTAGAAAATTAAAAATTATGCTAAACAAAGGAAATTCAACTAGTACAAGCGTGCACTTATTTATTGGGCTTGTAGAGGCAGTAAAAGCTAATGCCACACAGTTATAAATAGGTATTATCAAGCAATGGTATGGCACCAGAAAGCCTGGCAACAGGAAGACAGTACTATTCCAGTGAAAACACCTTCTTTTATGTGCTACTGTATATGTGTAGAATCAGCCTGGCATATAGTAAAATGTTTCAAAATTAATTTCTTACAATATTGAAAACCTGATGTAACTGTGTTTTATAATAGTAATGCATATCATGCTGAACTGGGAAGTTCTTGTTAGGCTGTTAGCAAGCAGCGCTGCAGCTCGTGCTCTGGCAGACAGCTTTCACATTTAAAACGTTTTAACATTCTGGGAGCTCATTCCAGATGCCACTCTGAATGCAATGCATAAGCCCCTGCAATTGTGACAAACAAAGGTTTGACAAGGCAAAAAATACACAGGCACTATGGAAGAAGTCCCTCTGCTAGGTGGCTTTCAACTGATTAATACGGCAGTAATTTTGACACAGCCACAGACTAGGAAATACTTGAAAAGTTAAGAGACTACAAATCATTTGCAGTTTACCAGAAGTACACCCCTCCCTCTGTTCCAAAAGGCAAAGTCTTAGACAAAACAGATACATATGCATTTTTTTTTTTTCTCTTAGTCCTACAAAAAGCAGGAAGCCATTTGATGCACAATGTCTGACAGCATGAATTTTGGAAGTCTAGTTCCAAGTCAGACCAATGTTGCCTGGCAAACAAACACAGAGATTAAGAGTTTAACCCCAAACAACAAAGAACAGTGGAGCAACCAATTACTGCTGACATTTCCACTGGAGACTACTGTATTTCTAGTTAAGTCATCATCCAAAGTCTGCATTTAATTTAGCTAGAATTCTCTCCAGAACAAAGGCACCAAAAATGGAAGTGGGCATTTATCAATTCATTATTAGCCTTATAACTGCCTCATCAGTCTTGCATCCTCTAATAAAGACAGAATTGCTACATTCTAGTAGGTAATGGTAAGTATTGGCATTCACAAATCTCTGGAAATTCAGAAAAGTAAATTGTAATTATCAACTCTGTGTCTGAAAAATAATAGTCAGGAATTTAGCACTACACCTGTGTAATGGGAAGAGTATCCCAAACTAGAAGAGATATTGTAATAAATGACCATGTGATGTGTGCTAATAATGCCCTCTTTTCCACAAAACGAGTTTATCTGCAATATCAGGAGTTTCTCTTCTCAGATTTTTTTATCTGGCAGTCTACATGGGTATAATTTCCAGGATTCATAATTGAAGAATCAAAACTTCCAAACAACATAAAACAAAAATCAATTGCAATATTATTTTCAGTTCTTTGCTATTTAAGAAAGTTGCCTGCAACTCACCACTATTCTAATATCAACTTACTAAATCCATGATCACTACAGAGAGAGAAAATCATTTTCGTGGAAACATACTGCAATATTCAAATGTTTCCGAATTCTACAGGTAAGCTCTTCGGGGGAAGGGACCATTTCCTTTGTATAATTTATAATCTGCTGAGCATGTTACTAGTGTTTAGGAGAACATATTAATACACATTTTTTGCATTTCACAGCAAGTTTATCACATCAAAGACATAATCAAGCCATGAAATGAGATCTGCATTCAGAATACACACAAGCAGAATAATAGTTTTAATATTAAACTGTTTGTTTTAAAACAAACAAACAAGTCCTCTACCTGTACTGCAAATCTTGAGCCACTGTAAAGGTATGAAAGGTTATCCAGATGTATGGACTACAAAACCTGCTGACCAGGCAGATTCCTCTGACACAGCTTAAAATATGCTTTGCACTAGAGCTTTGATATATCCCTTATCATCTTCTCCTCTGTGCACTGCACAGGTGAACCTGTAAGCAAGATATTCCATGCCACTCACCCTTCACAGGCACAACTGCTACCAACATCGACAGGATGTTTACAGCTGTTCTCTTTTTCAAGTAAGCTGGGTTAATATTTAGACAGAGGACAAACTCACAGTTTACTTCCAAAAACTGCTACCTGATGATACTGAGAGAAATTACACAGTTTTAGGACCAATAATTTGGAACACAGGTATATTTAAGAATTGTCACCTTTTAAAATCTTCTGACCATGTTTATCAAATACTGAATGAGGCCTACAGGAAGGCCACATGAAATGAAGTGTAAGGCTGTAGGCTGAGATACTGTTTAAAAAAAGCGGCGGTGGTCAGAATCTTACCTCCATGTTATTGTAGTTATGGCTATATAGTTACTTTCCTTCAGCAGAAACTTGCAACTTGCCTACTGAAAGCTGAATAATATCTACGGGATGATGATGAGGATTTTCTCCAGATGCCGTACAAAAGGCGAGAATAACTACACCGGTTTTATGCCTGCACTCTGTTTCAGATATACGTGCTTCTCTGAATCTTTCTCTCACTAGTGAGAATGAAGTTACACCCTTTAAGGGTTTCCAACAGATAAACAGCATAATGCCCTTGCATTATTTCATACGTTACAACAAGGCACCCCGCCCTTGGCCATTTTGAGAACAGTAGATTGTTACCTTCTTCCTTAATTTGGGGCAACAGCCAAAGGATACTTTCTGAAAGTCCACAGCAGAAAAGAATAAAAATTAATTGTAGTTTTAGGTTGACAGGAAGCTTATACTTCTCTTTGTAATGTGTGAACCTATTTTGCATAATGTTAGTAATTTAAGAACTGTTAAAGATACAGCTTTAAAGCAATCTCAGTTGAATTCTAGGAAAAAGGCTAAAGCATATTTTAAGCAATTACTAGATACAGCAACTCAGTTGCTGCAGAACTTGTGCCGTACAGATTTGTGTGCAAGGTCATTATATGAGTTCAAAACCCTTCAGCCAAATCAAGTGCAATTCATGTTTCTACTTTTAAAGTAAGTTTTACTTTGCTCTACACTAGGTACAGTACAGCCCCAGGTAACCTGGTTCTGTAACCGATTTCTGCATAGCCCTTTCAATTAAACAACATTGCTCAACAGTCCATTTCTCCCTTTACTGGAAGAGACTTTAGTGGAAAGCTCTTTCTATAGTGATACCTACACCTTACTTCAATTAGGAAAGAACATTCAATACCCCTATTTTACTGCCATCTGCTTCTCTATTTTTCATAAAAATGTATGACTTCGAAAGCAAACGTATGTCTTATTCAGAAACATTCTTGTCAGTCCTCAAGAATAGCAAGCGGAAATAGTAATAGCAGATCAAGGATACTTTATTTTGATACTTAACTTACTATATGATAATAGGCATCAAATAGACAAAGTCATATAAGTCCCAGTTTTCAGTAACAAAAGCATAAGATGGGATTATCTCTAATGTTTCCAAACAGTGTATTTCCTAACTGCAGGGCTAAACATGCCTCAAGTCTCCAGCTGCAGAACATAAGAAATGCTTACAACATACAAATTAGGTTCTTTAAAATTGACTAGTTTTTTATGACAAAGCTTGTAAGTAATGGCATGAAAAAAGTTATAGTGGATCACACCAAACATTCACGTAACTTAGTACCCTGTCTCCTTCAGAGGCCAAAAGCATGTATTTAGGCAAGTCTATCAGAACAGGACAAGCATATGCAACACTTCCAGCAAATACTTACCTACTTTCCAAAAATTAGCAACTTGGGTAATGAAAATAAGTTTCTCTGCCATAAGTTGTCACAGCATCTTCAACTTTTTACTTATAGCACCCAACCGATGTAAGTGTTTTAATTCAAGAGAAGCAACCGTTTTGTTAAAAGTACGGATAAACTTACAGATAAAGTCTCCTTCAAGCATCACAGCACATTCCTGTATATGAAGTTTAATACTTCAGGACTCCTATTAAATATCAAATACTCCAGAAAAAAGCATGTGTTTCACTAATATTTTAAATTAGTCAGTAAGTCTCTTCTGTAAGACAGTTAACATTTACTTTAAGCTATGTCCTTTCTTTGCATCTCTATACAAACTTTCAGGTTCTCAACACTACGAGTTTGCAGATGCAAACTTTAAAGCAACATATTAAAAAATGCTTACTCACTACATTTCTTATACTTTGCTTGTATCAAATGTCAGCTACAACCTGACCACATCCCTCTGACTGCAGTCACACTAGCAAAAAAGTTCAACCACCAGTTGGTCCTGAGGCTCCTGGGAGAAACATCAGTAAAGGCACCAATTACCTGCATCAGTTTTCTTGAGAGCTCATTTGTGAGAAATTCCTCTTCCTTTTCATAGTTTACTGCAAGCGTTTCTTTTTCTTTCTGCAGAGCTTGAATCTTCTTAAATAGAGTATTACTGATGAATTCCTCTTCCTGCTCTGCCCTTGCTTGCTGTGAAGTAAAGACATAGTTTCAAGAAAAAAAAGGAGCAAGTTTCCACATTAAAAGCTGCAATTATTCCATTCCCCTTTAAATGCCTCCCCCCCCCCCTTTTTTTTTTTTAAATCTGCCCATCCTCCTGGAAAACAGTAGGATGGATCTAAGTGCTAACATTAGATCTAAGTGATAACATTCTAACATTATAGCACCTTTCTTCCTTTCTTGTTCCCCAATTTTCAACTTGGGAAACTACACTGGTGCTTTAAAGTGGCCTCCCCCCAACCAAATGCCCCAGCTCTCCAACCTTTTAAACTTTATAAAAGCATTACTGATTCACAGATACCTACTCTATTCCTAAAAACAAACTCCTCTCTAAACATTCTCCATTACGAGCTGAAGCACAGCTCTGAGACTGCTGCATTCAGCACTGTGCCTTCTTTCCAGATCCCTTAGACTGCAGCCCTGCTTTCTAGGAGTCAAATAACACGTTTATTCTTTCACCCAGATATGCCTTGCTTCCGAGCCACAGACAGCACGGCTCTTCTCACGAGGATTTCTACCCAACCACCAGCTCAGGAAAACATACTTACATTACTTCTCAGAACTGTTACTTCACTACATACAACATCAACTTTTAAAAATGCCATGTGGTAGCTTTACCCTGAGGATTTCCAAATTTCACAAGAGGAGAGCTACTCTGGAAATCTTCCCCATGCAGAATCACTAGAGAACACGATTTCCATTTCAGCTGTCCTATAGCACCTAGGCACTGCTCAACAGAAAGCCAGCCTGTAAGCTCGCTCCCTCGCGTTCCCTAGAGTTCAAGTGTTTGTATATTTTTTGACATGCATATTAGAAACTTGATAAATGGAACACAAAAGTTATCTTTTGGAAGTCTGCTCTAAAAGGCCATAAAGGGTATTTCATACGGGCAAATGAAAGATCACAGCTACAAACTGGTAGAGACAACTCTTAATTCCACGGTCCAAAGAGAGCCCAGAACAACAGAATGATGACAGAAATACAGAATTCCCAAACCACCACCTTTAACAAATGAGACAACATAGTATCAAGGAGTGTTTTCATTCCCTGCAATAAAATCCACATCACTTGAACTGCAGATTTGTGATTTGCCCCGATTCTAATAAAACAATACCAGCTTATAGTTTACAATATGGAAAGATTCAGTAAGTTTTATTTCAGTAAAATTTGATACAGGAAAATTTAAGAACTGAAACAGCAGCATAACTAGTTTTACTGAAAGCTTAGCTTCCATAATCTTCTGCCCAAAATTTGCCAAAATAACCATCTCTTTATATAATTGTACACTGGAAAATGCTCAAAAGGTTCCACTATGTCAATGATCTTTCAGCTGGAATGATATATTCCCTAGTAGTCCCAAGAGACAGTTACTTAAACGGAGACACCTTCCATGCCTACAAGAAAAGTCTTCTCCCATCTCTATCGCTTTCTTGTCTTGGCCCTTTCCCACTATCAGCCACCAGCTCCCTTCTCCCTGTCCCCAGCAGAGCTGGCACAAACCCAACCTGAAAAAAAAAGAAAATAAAAGAAAAACAAAAGAAAGGTCTGGCACAGTTTATTAGCTTAGGAGCTTAGGTCCTGCACAACACCTCCTCTCTAATGTTTGTGCATCTCAATGGCAGAGAACCGCTACTCCAGCACATTCAGCACTGGTATTATCACTTGTCACATCAAGACAATGTAAATTTGTCCAAGAGCTCTGAAAAAATGCTAAATTGTCAACTCACATCTCAGAGGATTAAAACTCAAGGAATCTAACTGATCTCAGTAACATCATCTATCACTAAATCTGGCTTTACTTAGAGCTACTAACAATCTTACATCTTCAGAGACATTTTGGAACAGAGTAAACAAGTCAAATTGCAAGGGTTCATTGTCCTCAAATCGTTAAAATTCATGCATGCTCTTCCAAAATCAACTCCTCCATTGCCTTAACTACACGGGATTTCTACTGGTGTCTGCTTTTCAATGGTTCAGACAATAAAAGACAGTAACACAGACCAAGCTTACCTAAAATTAAATCAGAAAGCACTTGGTTCTAAAAAAGAAGAGAATGAGGGTGTTTCTACTTTTATTTCTGTTCATTTCTGACTTGCACAGATTTGTTCCGCTCAAGCTTTGCACCAATCAAAAGCTCTAAAGTCACATTATTACAGCCCCGAGCCAGCACAACGCTTCGCAGCCAGATCCTGGTGTTATATTAATGATGGGCGCTTAGGCCAACGTGAACACGGGCTGCCAAGATCCCAGCCCACTCCCAGCCAAACAGCAATGCCCCTCCTTTGTGCTTGCACGGGTGCTCATGTGACCAGGCAGCAGGCCGGCGCAGGCAGAAGACGACACCCAAAAACTAATCCCTTCCCTTCCTCCTCCCGTTTTAATTTCCTGGATCTGCTTCCTAAACTGGCGTACCACACAGGCAGAGTGCTGGCACGTGGAAACGAAGAATGAACAGCCACAATTTAGACCTGTTTGAACTGCTCTGCAACAACCCCCTCTGCCTACACCGTGTAGGACACCGGCTTGCGTTCAGCTGGCTCAGAGGAAAGGCTGAGTATGATTATATCTGCCTCCATTATGTGAAGAATATATTTCCCAACCGAACAAACAACAGGAACCCTATACATCTAAGTATGAACTGTAAGTTCCAGATATCCACACATCATATTTAATACAATGAATGTCCACTTAAATTACCCAAGGGTCAGCAATTTCAACACAAACTTTTTAGTCAAAAAACATCATACAGTTATTAAGACTGGATAAAAAAGCACATCATGCATCACCATATTTCTTCTAAATCCACATAATTTCATTCTGAAACTTTCCCTTCATCTTGTTATTCATTACTTGGGGATAGTTCAATTATCTTAAGTAATAAAATCATTCACGTGTACCTTAATATTGCCTAAAATCTTGAAATCTGTTACTCATTTAGCCCATAATCAAACTGTTGTTGTAAAACAGTCATTAAAAAAAACAGTTTTTAATACTATTTCCTGCACAGACTCTGTCACTGCAATATTTTTCTGGACGTGTATACATTGTGTTTCCATATGGATAGTCTGCCTTTTTACTAAGTATTTGAAAAGAGGCTCTGATATGATCAGCAAAAAAAGAGAAACAGAGCATGGAAATCAAAGACTTCTATGAGGGTACAGAGTTCTTGGTTCTTCTCTATTATCCATATGACATTCAATATCCAAAAACACTAACAGCAATTCACTCTGTTCTGTGTACCATACTACAAAATAAACTGCCAAGGCACTGAGTGATATAAAATGATAACACCTGATCAGTCAATCTCTGGAAACCTGAAACAAGCAACCTACTTCCACCACAGATTTTCTGCATAACCACAGTCACATCCACCTGTCTCCTGTGTCTCAGAACTCCATGTATAGCTAACTCAGAGCATTTCACGGACACATCCACTAAGGAAAATCTGTAATTATTGTGGTCAAGACCATAAATGGCAAAGACTATCATGTTACTTTGCAAGAAATCAAGAATGAAGAGGGGGGAAAAAGCACCTCATGCACATAAACCACACAAAACCTCTTATATTTTCTAGGAAGAAAAATCCTATTATTTCTATTGCAGTAGCGTGCGAAATTCTGATCACTAGTAGAGCTGATGCATGGCGTGATGTAAAAACTTGTCCTTGTGAGCTTACAATCTAATGAGCTAATTTTAAAAGAATTAAGAAACATACTTCTCCTAAACTTTATATAGTAACTGAGTATCATATTAGGAAGTGAATCTCATTAGAACTTATTTTTCCACATGCTGCATACACTACCATAAACTGAAAAGTTTAGTGTTAAAATCTTCTGCTCTCAGTTCTTCATCCCGTAAATATACCTTTAGCAGACCAAGTTCACACTGCTAGATTTCCCTCTGCCCTCTTGCTCCTAGTACATGTAGCAGCTTCTGCTTACGGTGGGATGCTCTCTTTCTGTGTCGCTGGACCACACACCGACCACACTGCTCTAGTGGCATTATTTTATGAAGCGGCAAAATCCAGTATTTCCAATGAGGCATCAGCTTGAGCACAGTCAAATAAAAAAAACAATAAAAATAAAAATCACAGCTCTCTATGCTCCCTTCTCTCCCCAGTTAGTTCTTCTAAAAGCTTCACAAACCTTCCTGATACTGCACAGTAAGTAAGCAGGTTCAACAATCACAATTAATACCTACTCTTTAGTCAGTATCTGTACATTATCAGTGATCTGACACGAATAAGTTCTTGCATTTTAGTTTCAGCTCTTACCTCAAACACAATTTCAGTAACAAGTGTTTCACAAACTGCTCCAGTCACCTACACTCGACCACCTGAAAGCCAGATGCCAAGCATGCCTGGCTTGCATGCTGACAAAGCATCAGCTGTCTCCAGTAGCATCCAGAGTAGAGGTGACACTAGATTTCAGGGGATCTTGTGGAAACACTCTTGAAGGTCCCTCATCTTTAAGGCAAGAGCCACCATGACCTCTTTACCATTCACCCATCTTTTTATGGTGCAATTTCTGTTGACAGGACCCTACGGACAATATAAACCTGCAGATGGAGCTGACGAGCAATTTAATCTGGTTGCTGTACACAAGAAACTCAATCTTTGCTACTGAATATAGACTGAAAGGTTGGGGCAGCTTCAGGAAGAGATGATCTCAGTTGCTGCACATGTAACACTGAACTAAAGCTGTCACTTCAGAAAGCAGCCTTTCCCAAAGTCCTACTAAAAAATATGATGAGGTAAAAAGGGCGTGAAGTGCAGAAAGTCACAATGGCATGATTTTAGAATATGCAGTTCTTGCACAAAATAAAATCTAAGTTTCCCAATTCTCCTGAAGCACACACTCCTCCTCTAGCATTACTAACTCAAGTTGCTGTTCTGGCCATACTTTCTGGCACCAATTTAAAACAGTATGGAAAACTACTGGTCTACAAGTGCCACAAATATTCCAGTGAAC